CTAGCTAGGTAGCTAACTTGACTATGTTCCATGCAGTGCTTGAATTGGAATGAAAAAGGTGCCAGTACTCTAAAATCAGCAACTTTTTCAAGTCAATTTTATATATACAGCCCACAAACAAGAATTTGGCTACTATAATGCTGGTGGGTTTGTCTCTTTACTACTGTATATTTTAGAAAGGTTCACTGTACTTAACATTTTTTATGATAGGCAGCGGATATGGCTAAAGCTCAGTAAGGTCAATATTAACTGAAAATATAGCAATCAAAGTCTAGATCTTCTGCTGAAGACACATGAAGCAGAGACCTTTCAGGTGAGAGCCCCTCTGGTGGTGTTCAACATTAATGACAAGGAAACAAAGCTCTGGTCAGAAGCATTTTTTATAAAAAGCTTTAACAAAATTAAGTATTTCTGTACATTTTGAATGCAATCTAATTTTCCAACTCAGAAAACGAAAAACGAAAAAGTGCCAAAAGTCTTCTCACATGGCTGAGCTGCTTTGCAATATACTTCACCACTGAAGAATACAAATATGTATAAAGTAAACTATGATGCAATCTAACTTTCCAACTCAGAAGAATGATAAAGAGCATGAACAAAGAACATGTAAAAACAAATGCAAAATTTGCACAATCTAAAATGAGAAACTGTAACTGCAAGTAACAAAGTCTGAGCCATGGTAAAGAGTTACATTGAACACCAAGCTGATCAGATAACTCCCTGGTTGGTCTGAAGTCCTTCTATCTCCAGGATCTGTACAAATCGGCACATTATGCCAAAAGTCTTCTCACTGGGTGAGCTGCTTTGCAATATACTTCACATTGTTAGAAAAGGCTCCAGAAGGCCTTGGGGACATCAGTATCAGGGACTGGAGCTGGACAGGCTCTTTCATCAGCACTTCTCCTTCCCTTTGCCAGCCAGGACCTCACATACTGTTCCGGATTGAACTGTCCTAGTGATGGTCCATTACATTTAATGAAAACCAGGCTGGACAGTCGGCTGACAGAGAGAGCATTCCTTTTTGCAGTAAGGATATCGTTCATGCAGCTGAATGCCCGCTCACACTCACTAGTGGAGACAGCGATGGTTCGGACTGCTTTCAGTAGAGGCTCCATGGCAGCAGGTGTACGGGATGCCCTGGTTTCCTTGTATTCGCGAAAGCCCTGAACAGTCTCTCTTCTGTCCACTTTCAGCACTTCGCACAAACGTAGCACCTCTACGTCCCCATCCTCTTCAGGCCAACTTCCAGGATGGATAACTTTCATGTCCTGGATTAGCTGATTGTCCCGGGCCTCCCGGCCATGTAATGGGATTTCTCTTGTGCTGACATGAGAGGAGGTTGTGGAAGTCATTCTGTGTCTCAGATTCTCTACCATACTGCGGAAAAACTGACCTGCATGAATATGTACAAGCCTGCCATTCTCACGCAGGGCAACACCCTTGAAGGACTTCTCAGCTAGAGCTGTATGAACTGTTGTCATGTGTGGGCCAGGCATGGTGACCATGGATTCAAAAACTCGTATTTCTCGAGTTAAGAGCCTATCTGCTGTAGGCAGTGTCATCTCTCTTTTTTGGAGTTGCCGAGAGAGGTCGCTGAGCTCTGTGAGCGCATCGTACATCAGTCCCAGATTGCTGACAAACGTTGCAGATGTGAGCACATCATCCAGGCCCTTGTACTTTGCTCTGTCTCTGGAATCCCTGCTCGTGTCGTTTGCAGCATTTGTGAAGTGATCATGAAGCACTCGGTAGTTTTCCCAGACTGCTCTGACGCTCCTTTCACTTGAAGCCACCCAGCGGATGGACAAAACACGCCCTATCACCAGGAGACGCTGTCCGACTGCTTGCGCACACTGCGCTAACTGCCTCTGATTTTTGGGGGAGGCATGGAACAAGGAATAGAGTTTGTCAAAAAAGATCTGGAAATGATTGAGCCCTGAGACCTCCTTGACCACATCCCCAACTGCCAGCTCTAGACGATGATTGGAGCAGTGCCACACAAACAGGCTTGGGAATTTACTACACAACTGGGTAGCAACGCCTGTTCTCTTCCCTAGCATGACTGAAGCCCCATCACATGCAAAAGAAACGAAACACTGACCTAAAAAGTCCTCGTTAAAATCTCTTCCAAGACACTCCATTAATGCCTTTGTGATGTCATCAGCCGTTGTTCCATCCAACTCGATCAGCTCCCAAAAAAACGTTTCGGGCTCAGCATCAGCTAATGCTGAGCGTAGACACACAACAAGCACCGTTTTACCACTAATAGTGGTAGATTCATCGACCAAAACACAGAGTTTTCTTTGGTTTTCTGTAATGTCTTTTGCCATTTTTTTCTTCAGCTCATGAGCTATGTGGTCGATGATTTCGCCACAGGTTTTATTGGAGTGCAAAACCCTGCCCACGTTCAGCCCATTCAGTTTCTGTACATTCAAATCAATTGGCATGTCTGTGAATGGCCGGCTATGTTTGCCAATTTTATATGCCGTTCGAAAAACTCTGATAGTGGTGTCTAATTCAGATTTATGCATAGACTGCACTTGATGTTGAATAGTTTCACGTGAAGCAGATGTAAGGATGTCAGCAGCTTTTACATGGGCTTCTGATTCTTTATGTTCTTTGATTTTTTTTCTCAGGCTAGCTTGTTGTTTGCCCTTGTCAACACCGAAATGAGACACTGCACACTCACCCCATTCAGTTGACAGTTTCAGTCCTTGTCCAGTGTGTATTCCCAAAGATTTGACATCTCTGCATATCCGACATCCTAGCTTCTTATCTTTAAGAAGGAGCCATGCATTGGTCTTGCAAAAATATTGCACCTGTTCCGTTGTCCAGCAGTCAGGTGCATCGCTTTGCCCGGTGTTGGTGGTGGCAGTTGCGCCAGCAGCAGCTAACGTTAGAGGCTCTGGAGGAGGCGGCGGAGCTAGTGCTAATGCTAATGCACTAGAACTTGGAGCAGGAGGATCAACCAAAGAAAGCTCCCCATCAGACATAATTTCCAACACAGGCACAGCATTCTCTGTATTTGAAGTTTCTTCCGGCGACAACCGCTGTCTTTTTGCACTTTTATTAATCCACGCTAACATTTTAGAAATGCTAATTTGTGACGTGACTTGCTTTCCTTCTCTCGGGGGCGTGCCTGCTCTGTTCTATCACTCTACATAGCCACCCACTGGGTGGGAGTTGCACTGCATAAACACAACACACGTGCATCTAGGTATGTAAATTGTAAAGCATTAAAACATGGTTTTACTAACAGTTTTCAGTATGTTGTTACTTCGGCATTATTATTATTATTATTATTTTGAAACGTGTATTACTATTAAATCATGGTCAAATAGGTTAATTTTGACATAGTCGTTTCCACCACAGTATTTACATGGAGAAGATAAGCCCCGCCCCCTCTCCTGCACGTTCTGTTTGAATGACAGGAGTAAACAGCTGACAGCCGCTGTGAAACTCCAGCGGTTAGAGCGATGAGAATGTCCGTTCGGCACCTCATGACGCATCTACTGAGTACCGGGCGGCTGTATATATATATATATGGATGTATAATAAGAACGGCGGGAGAGTGTTGAGTACTGGCACGGTGCATGAGTACCGGAGTACCGCCAGCATGCCGGTACTGAGCAAGAAGTGCCGGTACTCCATGGGTCAGAACCAGAAGTGCCGGTACTGCGTACCGGTGAGTACCGGCCCAATTCCAGCACTGGTTCCATGCACAACATGTATATTACCTATGATATGACCTGATATGTCTGATCCAGCGACTCCTGGTCCTTTCATCAGACGGGAAGCGATAGAACGAGCAAGTGGTATGATCACTTTTGTGATTACAACCTGGTACAAAGCACACAGGTATCTTGTAAAAGTGAACCAACCACTTGGAGCATTATCGCCGGTGACATCACTTACGCGACCCAGAATGGGATTTGGGATTTGTAGTCGCGTATTTTTCATAGTCTTATATTTCAACAGTTTTACGACAAAATGTGACTTTTTTGACATGGAAATGATTGTTTAAGATTGACAAACATCATATGTGTAGTTCGTGGCACAATTCAAACGGGATCAAAAGATACGTTTTCTCTCTCCATTGAATTCAATGTATAATTTTTCGCTTCCGGGGTCCCATGGACCGGAAGTAGATGGGCGTGACTTCGCCTCTCTATTTCTCTAAACGCCTGCTGCTTCGCCTCCTCTCTCCTCGACTCGCATCTCCTGTGGGCGGGACTAAGTCACGAGGATAGGAGTTGAGGAGGGGAATTAGATAAATGATAAACCTATGTCTTGCACAACATCCACAAAAACTGACAAGAAAAATATTATTAAAATCAGGGAAAAGTATTTTTTACATGTGTTTTAGTTAAAAAAATGTATACTTTTTACCCGTCTTGTTTTTTGAAAAATAAAAGGATTCAAAAATGGTTTCTGAGGTATTTGGTCTTCCCTCTGCCATTTTGAATTTATGGTGCCATATTTCTAACACAAAGTTAGTAATCAAATGATTGTAGAGTGTTAGGCCACCTGCTGGTGGAGGCATGCTCCTACACCTGCTTCAAAATGGCTCCCACATGTCATTATAAAATAAAGCAGTGGCGAGCCGTCAGGGCCCTCTCTGAGGGCCTAAGATATTCTACAAAATAATATTTAAAAAGATAAAAAATAAATATATATTTTTTTAATTAGTTTTACCAAAAAAGTTTGATTTCATTGTACTTAAAATAACATTCCCAAATAAATAAATCCTTCGAATATGCCTGTTCAGTTTTTGTTGGAATGTGAAGGGTTAAATGAAAGAAGCTCCATTGGCCGTCTCTGCGAGTTACTGTGAAGATAGGAGCTGATTGGTGGTCCAGCTATAAATTCACAGAGGGCCAGCTAGGGTAACTCAACGAGAGAGTAATGTCAAAGCTGTCAGAGGGACTAGGTATAAAAGTCACGGCTCGCCACTGAAACAAAGAGTTTCTTTCCGTCACAAAACCAGGAATAGGAAGTCACACTTGGAAGCAAATTGTTTCAACCTTTATTAAACATAGCTTGCAAGAGATAAATATTACAAAGTTATTTCCTCCAAAATTAGCTTATTTTTTCAATCAATGCATAATTGTCAATCAACTGGCAGTATTCAAACAGCATTATTTTCTTTTACTTTTTTGAAGACCGTTAAATATCAAGTATGTGCAAAAGGTCAGGATTGATGTAAGCAAAACGAAAAAAGGACTTCAATTAGTTTCCGGTTGGTTTCATCATCTGTTTCTGCAGATCCCACATTATACAAAAAGTCAACTGAAAATTGATAAAACTGATTGAGAAATTAAATGTTTCCCTGCATTAGCAACAACAACTAATAGAAGTAAAAAGCCCGGCAGCAGAGGAGCGCATGTGGGGTACGCTGAGGTCGGCAGGAAGTGATCACTGGTTCAGAAGCAGCTGTCCTCAGGTCTACTGGATGGAATACTAAGCGACTCTGTATCAAATGGATTTATTCCGCCAAAACAAGGTTCCCCCGGGCGCTGATAGCATTTAAACCCCTATGAAAAGTGTGAACAGGTTATCTTTGTACATCATCAGGTCACTGACATGTGGAATTATGTATATGTTTTTGCCCATGCTCTAGCCCCCACTAGAACTGGAGGGTACGTCCTAACTAAACCTTTTATGATTTTATTTGTTCAGCTTGTAAGATATCTGCTCACAGCATTTAAAGAACTTTATTAAAACATTTTTCAGAACAAATGTCCCGGTCACAGAAAAAGTGTGTATGAGACAAACTGATTTCTGGAAAACTGACTTTTTAAACATCATCTTTCCACGCTGTGATTGTAACCGGTCCACTTCATAGAATATGGTCATGTGGACAAAGGGGTCAGCAGACGTGGTTTAATGAGACGCTAAAGTCATGAGGGCTCCATGTAATCCAACACAATGAATCATCTGATGGGCAGGAAACCATTCTTCAAAGTTATTTCCAGTTTCCATGCTCCAAGAGAAGAGATCAGATGTTCACAGGTGTGATGTGAGCCGCTCTGTCTGAACCAGTGCACCCCCCTGCTAACGCTAGCTAGCCCCCGCCGAGGTGAATGCATCCAGGGAGAGCTCCAAGAAGCGGAGGGGAAAGAATCCCAAACATTTTGCACATTGTTACACAATAATACACAGTGATCACAAAACGAAATGACAAGCTTCACAATATTCATGGCTTTTTGTTTGCTTTTCTACACAATATACAACCATTTAATTTCTTTTTTCAGAACAAGGGAGGAGAAAATGCTTATGTACAATAAGTCATTATTACTTCAAACCTAGCAAATATCGTGTCATTTATTTCATAGTCAATACATTTGTTTATTTTTTAAACTGCAATAGAAAGAAAACAGAATTGAGACGTCAGAAAAAGAATGACTTCAAATTTAGATTTCAAGAAAGAATCTGAAATCCGGATACAAAGAGTGTGGGCGCATCTGCAACAGAGTCAGAGACAGGAGCTTTTTCTCAAGCTTGGCAGCAGAAGGAGACGCATGGAAAAACCATGGCTAAAATCAAATTGTGTGGCAGTAAAAAATGTATCCAAGACATTTAAAACTCATGAAAATATATCTCTACATCCAATGTCTACTGTTCCACCAAAAGGATTATTGATTCATGTTTTCTTTTTTTAATAGAATTAGCACAAATGATGTTTTCCAAGTGTACACTTAGTTTACACCCTAGGTAGTTTCAAGTCTTCCATTTCACTGGCTGTTTATCATGGGATGGTCTGATGACACACACACACACACACACACACACACACACACACACACACACACACACACACACACACACACACACACACACCACACACACACACACACACACACACACACACACACACACACACACACACACACACACACACACGCACACGATGTGGACTGATAATTGTTACATATAGTCATGGCAACACTATCAGAGACTGTATGCTGTGTGTATGCTGTATGCTGTGGCACAGCATTGGGTCAGGAAGAGAAGTGCTGAGAGAAGCCTTTAGAAGCTAGCCAGACCTTTCTGTTTTACCATTGATTTACTAAACTTTGAAAAGAGGCTCAAATAGATAGTATGCTGCTTCTGCGTTAGCAACAACACATCAACTAACAAAGAACAATTTTATTGTTAAAACGAAAATGTCGCTTAAAATGTTAGTCGTTTACTTTTAACCTGAAGTGCAGATACAAACTGAATTTTAGTACATGGACAGAAACAAATATAAAATAACACTGAGCAATGAAAAGAAGAGAGGCTGTGTTAGCTAGTTTAGCTAACTGGAGCACTAATTTAACACAGCTAGCTTCCACTATTGTAAATTATAAGCTAGCTCTTCCCTGTGAAGTGCTATAGTTTATTTTTCAATACATTTTAAATATGTGATACTTTTAGAAAAAGGTTTTAACCTGCCACCTCAACTTCTCTTGTTTTTTAGCTTCAGTTTTTGCATTGCTTGCCATTCAGCCGAACAAGCTTTAACACAACCAGAGACTACAGCCGTGCTAGCTGTGTAGCTTTAGCTACTTAGCACAGCAGTGCATTGTGCTAAATGCTAATGTCAGCATACTTACAAGCTAACAACGACAATAACAAGGTAGGTAGTCACTATTGCTAACCATGTTTCAATCTGAGTTTAGCATGTGAGCATGCTAACACTGCAGACAGCGAACAGCTGGGGCTGATGAGAATGTCTCCAGTTTGCAGGAGTTTGACCTGACAAAGTGAGAGTCTGCACAACACTTTGCAGAGGATGAAAGTGAAAGATTCCAGAATGAACTAACTGAGTGCGACGCAACCAAACATGGTTAGACATCCATCGAATACAAAGTAACTGCTGATTGTTCCATTCACACACACTTACTGCACAGAATCTGAGAAAAACATTTAGAACGGATGAATCCAACATGGCTGCCAGAGGACGTGTTGGCCAGCGTTTCCTCTGCAGTGTTGCTCTCATGTCAGTGTGACCTGTACATGCATCAGCCCGGGGGGGTCGACATGGATTGAACGTTCCATAGGTGAACAATAAATCACTGAACAGTTTTTGTCAGACATCTAGATTTATAGATTTAGCAGATGATCAATTATTAGAATGAAATGTTTCAGAACCCTGCACTGTTGTTACAACGCTTTTCACAAGGGTAGTGTGTCTGTTCAGTCAATGGAGGAGAGGTCTAAAGCACTTTCCTCCTGTAATAATCCATGCTTTTTTGGGGGAAATGTTAATGAAACTGAGTCTAAATAAAACATTTACAGAACAGGTTTACCAGTTCATGAATGAAATGTGCAAATTGGAACAGATTTGAGATCAGGGAAGAGCGTCCATGCTGTGCCCATGTGACCACCAGCCAGTATCTGAGGAGAGATATCCATGGGGACACGACTCATGTAAAGGGGGTGTTGTTGCGTCTAGTTGTGTCCCACTGATTGAACGGACAATACATTTACTTAAAGTGGATTTTTTTTCAGGATTTGGAAACCGACACTTGAGGTTCAACATTAACAGAGATCAACACTGGCAAAGGATCATTCATCATCCCATAAAACACACCGTGATGCAACCCACAATCTTCACACACCTCTGGTCGGCCATCAGCCAGCATCCAGACTCTAGCCACTCTCAATTGTAACATTCTTTACCTCCTTTAAAAAAAATGTTTTTCCAATTGGAAATATGCAAAGTGCTCCTCTGGAGTGAGGCGACTCGTGTGCAGAGCATGCACACAATGATTGATCATGTCTCTCCCATAAAAGATATAATCCACATCGTTTATTTTCTCCCTCTGAAGCTAGGTATCTATACATTATCCATACAATAGTTTCTGTTTTTAGCTTTGATGATTATTATCGTCTCCGGTGGCTAACACCTCTCAGGTACGCCACCATGTCATTAGGAGACGCCGCAAAACAAACAAACAAACAAACTAACAAAAAAAACTAAGCAAAAAAAAAAAAGAGAAGGAAAGTTGGGTGGAGGGGCCAACAATCCGAAAACTAAAATATAAGAAGAATAGGACCCAGACTTTAGGTTCCAGGTAGAGAATCTGTGGTTTGGATGCAGGAAATGTGCCTCCACCTTCAGACTTGAGTTCATTTAAAGAACATATGACGCCAAAAAGGAGCTTAGGGGTAAAAAGGGTTCAGTCTGTGCATACTGGATAACCAAAGGGTGGGGGCGGGGGAGCAGGAAGTGAGATGGACTGCCTTTCTCTGAGTGGACACTTCCCTGTGAACACTTGGGGGCTTCAGATGATCCTCCAGGATGAGCTCTCTGCAGGGTGTCAGTGCTCATGACAGACTACACCTACATCCACCAGGTGATCTGCGGGGGAGGGGCTGACAGGAAGAGTCCCCTGATGAGCCTCTGATGGGGACTGATCTTCTCTTCAGTGCACATGGGCCCCTCCTGTGGGTTCCAGATCCCCCGACTCAGGGGGAGTGAATCGAGCTTGTCAGCTGTCGGTGGTCACAGATCCTGAAACTGGCCCTTTCACCAGGGGAGAGTGGGGGTGCTCGGCCCCCGTCTGTTTGTTCCCATCAGTATTATAAACTTTGTTTCTCCAAGTTAAAGAGCTAACACTTTTTACAAAGCTGTTAAACTTTATGTTGCATAGCAACCAGAATGCACCCTGTTGATCTTCTGTTACTAGCAATAACCACGTCTTAATCCTAAGCTCTACGGTGAGTTCCTGTCACTGCCCAAAGTAAAGAGGGAATCAAAAACGGAGCGAACACGTATAAAAGAAAAAGCATAATGAGTAAACTGAAGCAAACGTGGTAGTTGCAGGTATAATAATAATAGGGCTACCAACAGCGATAATAATGGGAATTATAATTGTTAAACAACGCTGACGAAGAAGAAGAGCTGTACTATAAGAAGAACATCTGAGATGCACCGACAGTTTAGTGTCTTTGTCCGACTCGTGGGTTTCATGGGTTGGTTCAAGGTAGGCACACGGACAGGCACTGCATGCGATGGGGGGTGGTGGTCGATCTGGGAGTGCTTCAGTATGGGGTAGGAGGGCAGGATGGGGGGGGCTTCAGATGGGCTCATTTCTGTCCGCTGATGGACTGCGATATGGATCGAGGGGGGATCATGTCCAACAGGTACTCTCTCTGCCGGTCCGCTAAGCTGGAGCTCTTATGGGCCCCCACCGCCGCGGGGTTCAGATAGGCGATATTTAACCCTGTGGACACACACACACACACACACACACACACACACACACACACACACACACACACACACACACACACACACACACACACACACACACACACACACACACACACACACACACACACACACACACACACACACACACACACACACACACACACACACACACACACACACACACACACACACACACACACACACACACACACACACACACACACACACACACACACACACACACACACACACACTATTATTTACAAACAGCAGAAATAACCTTTGTAAACGAGTAGCCGCTAACAGCTAACATTAGCTTCTTCTGCTCATTTCATCACAGATTTGTCTTGTTTACAATTTAGCATTATGAGGAACAAACGTTGTGTTTCCAGAACGGGCCAATAGTCAAACGTGTGCGTATTGTAAGGGAGAGGGGGCGGTGAAGGAAACCTGCGCTTCAGATAACACAGCCCCGCAGTACTGAGATCATTTGTTATTTCCTTTCAGATTTGCACACGTAAACGGGACAGAATTTTGGCATCAACTTAGTATCAAAGTCACTGTTAATGAATCTTTAAAAGAGCGCTGTATAAAACATATCATATCAGATGTGTACTAAGATCTCATTAACATGAAATCTTCCAGCAACTAATTGAGAGGACTTAGTGAAAGCTGTGTTTGTTTGCTCTCTGCGGCTGATGTCTACTCTGAGTGAGACATCTTCATTTACAGCAACTTCAGGAGTCACATTCCTCCAGTTAAACTTTCACATACATCATATCACAGATTTGTAATGAGCCGCTTTATATTCTTGAAACAGGTTGGTGTTTGGCTCAGGTTGCCGATACAAACATACATACGTTACCTACAGTTGTTGTAATCAATGTCTGAGATGCATATTTAACCAACATAAGTAACGTCAAGTGCACAGACACAGACAGCAGCAGTACCTGGGATGTTGTAGATCTGCCGGCGGCTGTCGTGCTGCATCCTGTTGCTGCCGCTGCCCCCCCCCGCTGCCACAGTGCTTGCCGCTGGTCATCCCCATGAGGCTGCTGGCCACAGACAGCTGGGAGGCCTGGGCGAAGTTAGACAGGACGCCCCGCGCTGAGTTAGACAGGCCTCTCTGCATGGAGGCCTGGGGCTGGGGGGCCTGGGGACACAACACAAGTTTGTCATATTTTTCTATATGTTTATGTAAAATAATCACTTTTACTTTAGAACAAGTACATGTATGTAGTCGATGAATTTAATAAAATAGAACAACTTCACCATCACTGCCACACAGTGGTGCACTGCAGTACTGCATATGGTCTTTGAATAGCAGATATTTGCTTCTAACAGCTTAAAACAAGCTTACAGTGCGTTTCTCTGTTTATATCTTTAGGAATTCATTTTTACCAGCTATTAATCCTCCTAATAAAATCATGTCTGAAATCATGGTCTTTTAAGCAGCAGTCATATCTAATAGACAACTCAAATGTGAATTAAATGAAAAAATAATTAATAGATTAACCAATTTAAATGGATATAATTGTAATTAGCCACAATTATTACAGAACACATGGAACACTGGGTGAGTTCCAAATCAAGCCTCTCCTGAATACTACAGCACAGTGCAGGCTGGAGGCAGGTGGAGGGTGGGGGGGAGCGCTGCAGTGTACCTGGCGGAGTGCATGGTGTCGGATCATGGAGTCAGTCTTAGAGGCGTTGGGGCCGGTGGGGGCCGAGCTGGGGGAGAGGGCGGCCTGCTGCTGCAGCCTCTGCTCTATCTCCTGATGGGGGCCACGAGAAGAACACACATTAATACAGACAGCTCAGAGTGAGAATACAGACGTGTGGTGGTTTAGTGTGGTGGTGTGGTGTCATCACCACCACACCACGTGTAGTGTGGTGGTGTAGTGCTGACCTGCTCCTGCTGCAGGGCCTTCACAAAGGCGTTCTTCAGCCGGTTGGTGTGCTCCGCCTTCAGAGCCTTCTTCTGGTTGGAGGTCATGCACTGCTCACACAGGATCCGCCCGCTCTTCTCCTGCTTCCAGTGGGGGGTGAAGTCGGTTCTGCACTGGGCGCAGAAGAACGGCTCCATCCGGCCCAGCGTGCCTCTGAGTTTACCTGAGAGCAGCAATACGCTAACATCACATTCATCTTCAGGTTCATTTCTCCCCCCTTACTTTGGTTCTCTAGGTATTTTACCGCTCTGTTTTAACTGCTCTTACATTAACACAACAACAATTAAACATCACCAAATAAATGTTATTTAAAACCCTTTTAAGCTGTAAACAATGTCTCAGAATTAGGTTAACATGAATAACTGCAGGGAATATACAAAGAATACACACTGAAAATGTATTCCAAATGTAACATGGTTGTAGATGTGTGTGTGTGTGTGTGTGTATACTATCTGATGGATGAACATCATCTAGGGTTACCTATTCATCTTCTATAGAGGTCATCTTTGACTGGGAACACCATAGATGTTACAAAGTTGACTAAACCACTCAAAATGTTCAAATGCCTACTGTGGAGGATATCATGAGGCCTTGAGGCTATCAGATGTGAAACACAATATTTATTTGTATTGATGAAAGTAGTAAGCTGGTCAGATTTGACCCTTAATCACTTGAAGGGTTATGGAAGACATGAACAAACTATCTTCCAGTGCTTGAAGGTGAAGAGGAGCTGCTTACCCTGACTGTCGAGCACACTCTGCACCACCTCCTCCAGCCCCACCATGTAGATGAACTCGCTGTTGGCGGCAGAGGGCAGGAAGTGGAGCAGCGGGGCGGGGGGTTTGGGTGGGGGGATCTCCAGCAGGGTCTTCTCCAGCTGCTTCCTCAGGGCCAGCTTGGCAGCCGCCTGGCTGCTGGCCTGGTCTGCGATGGAGCTGACTCCGCCCGCCGAGCTGGACATGGTGGAGGGGCTGACGGCCGAAGCCCCACCCATACCCCCCCCGGCTGCTGCCGCTGCCTGCATGTGGGCCAGGTTCATGTACATGGCACTGGAGCCTGAGCGCTGGGAGGCTGCCACCTGCTGGCTGGCCTGCAGGGAGACACACATTCTCTGATGCTAAGCAGAGGAGAGCCACACTTTACCCTTCTGTCACCAGCTGACACAGTAAATACATTCTCCTGGCCTCGCTCAGGTTCAGGTTGTGGCTACAAGTTGCCCTTTAGAGTTCTCATCTACTGTATAGTGTAGTTTCCAGCTCATAGAGTCCTATCGTGAACCGTGAGATGTTCAGTACCTCATAGTTTTATGTCGGAAATGTATAGTACGGTCCCACATAGAAACTGCTGGATGCTAACCTGCATATGTTGGGCAATTTGGACCATTAGTTTAAGTTGAGAGTCAGTCCACTGGGAGTACAAATAATTTCTGGTTAAAACTGCCATTTATATCCTGAAAAGGTCTGAAATGGACTACACATCCTCAATAACCTCCAAAACCACTCCAAAATTGTCAAAATCAGCCAAGACATCTAACTATTGTCCACATAGGCTATAATGGTTATTAATGCTAATTAACATACATTATACTAATGGTCCAAATTGCCCAACATATGGAAGTTAGCATCCGGCAGTTTCTATGCTGGGGACCCTACTATACATTTCTAACAGTGCTGGCAACTAGACATGTATGTGTTATTATTTGTACATGATTTATGACTGGATGTCATGCTGCGGACAGTGATGGTGTTCTACCTCTAAATGGATTTGTTCAACTAGTTCTTAGCTTTCTATTAAGGCCGAATAATGATTCAAGCTCCCGGAGCAGGAGCCAAGACCCTCACTCACTACACTCTCAGACAACATATCTCTCAGAGGGAAGATGATAGAAGGGTCCCCTATATTTGCTTGATAGATATTTCCAGGATATTAAACTAAGAAGCTAATCAGTTAAAGATTTAAGCTAACTGTAAAGCATATAAATCACAGTCAAAAACAAGTTCAAACAAATAGATTGATAGCAGCTAACGTTAAAGCAACAGATCACAGTGTAAAGCTAACTAGCAATAGCACACCTACAACCCTGGAAATCAGGGCAGCTCTTTATTCACCCTTAAAATCGTTCAATCCAAAAGCAGCATGTGTATACATTCAGGCAGGGGCGGATCTACCGGGGTGGCATGGGGTGGCAACTGCCACCCTAAACAATAGCCTTGCCACCCCAGCTGCCACCCCAGTTGGCATCTTTGTTTTGAAAGAAAAGTTGTGGCTCATCAGACATTTATGAGAGAAAGTCTCTAATGTCCGAGTGCAAGTGAATGCAGCACAAGATGCACGTCATGTAACCCCTCCCCCGGTCCTGGCGCGAGAGTGGAAATATGATTGGTGGCGAATTCACTTGAACGGGGGGACGGCGCAAAACGAGAAGCATTCGGACCCAAGCACTGAAGGAATGAGGTAGTTGCGGTCTACAATGACAGAGAAGAGACTGTCAGTTTGGCTGTACTCAGCATTGAATCAAAACGCACTACAGCTGTTGATCTTAATAAGTTTGTGAGGCGTTTTGCTGAACAAAATAGTAATCGCCGCATTCAGCTGTAATAGACGTGCCAACTTGATGCTCTGCTCACGGATGACTCGATGAGAATAACAAACTGTTAAGATGATGACCTTGTATGCGTGAATATATTTTTTTCTTTGAGGGGGTCTGCCCCCAAAAAACAGTTTTAAGTCCTGAGAAAGTAAAATAAGACGGTGTGTAAAACTACACTGCCCATCCAACAGAAAGTAACCACTTTGATTGAACTAGGCCAGTAGGTAAGGACCTTCCACTGGATCATAACTGCAGCGATGTTTATGTTTTAGCTGAATACACGTTTTCTAACCCTAACTGATGCAGTTAGTCACTTCTTTAGTGTTTGTTCTTTCTGATGTAAAGTCAAGGTTGTAACTGTATATCAATAATGATATAATTACTTGTCTTTAACATTTGAAGGAGGGTGAGCAAGCATCTTGATGAACATTCATCATTAACTCCTCCAAAAAATATAGTTTATTCAATAATAAATGAATATGTGAATCATAACAGTTCTTCACTATATCTGTAAAGCGTCTTTGAGCACCTGTAAAAACGCTAACAAATTAAATCTATTATTATTACTATTTATTAACAGTGATTGACAGCTGATAGGAATAATATGATTGTTAATAGTATCATATTCATTCAGACAAACATCGATGAGACAGTTAATTAATGTACTTATTGCAGCAGTCTGCATAGATTTGGTACCCCTACTGGTCTAAGAGTGAGACAAACTCATTCAGTTAAAATTCATTAAATTACGTCTGCCACCTTGTAAGGCTTTACTGATGTGCCACAATAATATCACCTATGTGATTGAGTTAAAATATTAATATTGTGGCTTTCCAAGTTAACATTGATTGTAGGGGTGTAACGGTTCACAAACATTTCGGTTCGGTACGTACCTCGGTTTTTAGGTCACGGTTCGGTTCGGTACGTTTTCAGTACAGCAGAAAAAATTATCACAAAACATTAAATATTATTTTTAAATTATTATTAAACTGCGACTAATGTATTCAAATAAATACAAAATATAGTAAAATAAACATTAAGGTGCAGCATTTCGATGAGCTGAAATAATCTGTATTTGAACTGTACTAGTACCTAAGCAGCCAGCTTGACATTAGGACTTGCTTGTCATTGTATTTTCATGTTGTTTAAAGAAAGATGAACTTGTCCACATTGCTTGCTGAAAGGGCAGATCTGCTGGCACTAACAATGTCTCCTGCTGTGGAGAACACCCTCTCTAGGGACAGTGGTAGCAGATACAGCCAGGTAGCGCTTTGCTAACATGGCAACATAAGGATACTTGGCGTTTGTAATAGCTTTGGCTCGGTCTGAACTCTCTGCGAGTGGTGGAGGCTTACATGCTAGCGGGAGTTGGGTTTGCACTTCAGTCTTTTTTCTTTTGGTACCGGTGATATTCACATTCGGGTGATGCCTTTTCAAATGAGTGTGATGTATTGCCAGCCGCGTAACCAATTTTAGTTGAACAATGCCGACAAACAGCTTTGGTTCGGTCCACCTGTCTTTGTCCTTCATCCTTGTACGTAACTGCGAAACCAAAATGTTCCCAAACCGGAGACTTCAATGATGCTGGAGGATTTTCAGCTCAACTTTATCTGCGTTCACCATTTCGACAGTTCCTCAAATTACTGACTACATTTGAACGCATCCCTGTGACCAGCTCTCATAGTATGCCTCTCGTCCAATGAAATGACTTGGTCGCTCTATGATATAGATTACTTCCAGAAAGTTGTTCATGTTCTCAATTTTTTACGTTTAACGCTATATTCGTTCGGTACACACGTGTACCGAACCGAAGGGCCCGTACCGAATAATTTCAGTACGGGTACGTGTACCGTTACATCCCTAATTGATTGATATGATTGCGATTTAAAATCAGCATATACTTCTGTCAGGGGATGCCACCCCTCAAAATCTCCTGCCACCCTCTTGCCACCCCATGAATATTTGTCAAGATCCGCCCCTGCATTCAGGTCATATCTTGTGGCAGCTGTATTTGGCCCTTCATAGTGTATATTTGACAGATAGTCTGCAGATATATATCTTTCACTGTCATTATGTATATATATATATATATATATTTTACTTTGAAGTTTGGTTTTATTTGTTATTTGAGATGCTTCTATTCTATGTTTGTTTATTCTCTATTCTTTAACATGTTCACATTAAGTGCAAAGCCTTTTTGACATGCTGCTGTGACAAACATTTCCCAAATTGGGATCAATAAATTCAATCTTATCTTATTTTAAACCTTTGGCAGCTAGTGTAGCATAGCAGCACTAATGCTAGTTAAGGATGTGATAATGTACATGTACATTTAAGTACAAGCTTAACGTATCCTATTTTCTAACGTATCCCGTTAAACAGTATCATCATCACACATTGTTTTAACCATGACTAGCTGGTAGTCCACAGCAGACAGAGCACACAGTGATGGAGGGGCCTACCTGCTGGTAGCTGACGGCATTGGCCATGCTGGAGCTGGAGCGGGACATCCCGGGCTTAGAGGACAGTCTCTGGCCCTGCAGCTGGGAGGGGTTGGGGGCTATCACTCTCTGAGACATCAGCATGGGGGGCAGGTTAGCATTGGCTGCTGACCTGATAACCGTGTGACCCTAGAGAGAGGAAACAGCAGAGAGTTCATGAAAGGCTCTCAGTTCAGGAGACACCAATATCCTGCTCCTCTTCCAACACACACACACACACACACACACACACACACACACACACACACACACACACACACACACACACACACACACACACACACACACACACACACACACACACACACACACACACACACACACACACACACACACAACACACACACACACACACACACACACACACACACACCACACACACACACATCCACACACACACACACACACACACACACACACACACACACACACACACACACACCACAACACACACACACAGCACACACACACACACATCAACACACTACCACACACACAACACTTACAACACACAGCGACAGCACACACACACACATCACACAAACTAACACACACCACACACCAACACACACCACACACCTACACATCATTTTCTTATTATTAACTTAGTTCTTGTATATTTGACAACAGCTCCCTCTAAAATAATCACCTCAAGATTTTTTCAACAACTTATCAAGAGCCACTCAAGCACAGACCAGGATTACCTGGTTTTGTGCTTGGTCGTTCAATATTGAAGAGACAAAGTCTATTCTAAAACCAAGCTTAACCAAAAGTCCACTGGTGATTTTAATATTGGATTTCAATTCATTTTAGACTCACAGGAGACATATTTAGAAAAAGAATGGAAAATTCAAATATTGGTCAGACTCTGATAGCACTTACTTTATTTCCCACAATGAATATTTTCCTTAACACCCAGACTGCTAAATATTGTAGTCATTTACTCAGACTTAACTTATCTCCTACAGATACACTAAAGACATTCTACTACACAAGTGTACTGACCCAGGAAGTACTAACCATGAGCCGTAAACTGACCTTAGAGTGACCCTCTACTTTGAGCTTATTTCCCCTCCTTATTCAAGCAGGACTAATGTGTTGTTGAAGCAGCAGGCAGAACTACAAATGCAGTCCATGGTTGATAGTTGTTAACGTGTATGGCAGACAGACCTGTGCCGTGCGGAGGTTCTGGGGCTCCGGGTTGTGCATGCCCGGCCTCACAGGCAGCTTCCCCAGGCCCTGAGAGCTGTGCATGGGGGGGGGCCTGCACAGAGGAGGCAGCGTTCTGCACCACGGGGACCTGAGGACAGCAGACAGCGTTAACAGGGGATTCCTGCAAACTTATGTGTGTCTGAGCTTTAACTTCATCATATTACAGTAAACTTAAAGCACACATTAGAACTCAAGTCAGCAGTTGAATCCCAATCATTCACATATCTTCTGGTCATGTATAAAAGTACAGGCATTTTCAGAGTTACTCAGACTCTGGAAGAGAATATAAGGTGATGAGATTCCCTGTGACCCCAGGGTTATGTATCTGGGCGTGATTCTGGAGTATAATTGGAAAGGAAGACCTCTATAAAAAAGGCCATCACAAGGACCTGTTTAAAGAGTGAGCCTCCTGGACTGGGTCAGAGGCTGGACGTTGTAGAAGAGATATTGACTATGAAAAGACTGACCTACTGTCTAAGGACTGAGGCAGTGAACAGCGCTGGGAGAAATGGACGGTAGACAAGGAAAAAGAAAGGCTGTAAATGTGGAGTAGTATGCTTAGGTTTTTCTTTCTCTTATTTTCAGTATCTATGTATTTGTGTGTATTGGAAAATAAATAGTTTCAAAACAAACAAAACGCAGGAGTTAACACACTCCACAGCAGGTGGATGTTGGAGTGAGCTCTGCACTGACCTTCTGCACCACGTTCTCCTTCTGCATCTGACTCTGCCGGAGCTTCTTGAGCAGCACCAGGCGGGCCTCCTCCAGACGCAGCTCCTCCCTCAGAGCCTTGATCATCTGCTGCCTCTCTTCCCCCGTCTTCCCCTGGAACACACACAGCATCAGTCAGACATGGTGTCCACATGGCTAACCCTAGCTAACACGCAGCTGAGAGCGAAAGATAAACCTTTCAATCAAAAACGAGTTAAAGTAGATGTTTCTTCATTTGAATGAATGATGTATTTCCTGGGTGATTTGTGATGAGGATCTTATGCTCACTGTTTATTGTGGGCCCTGTTATGCTTTTGGGAGTGTTTCCTCTCCTGTAATGTGTTGGGTTTAATATGTTTTAGCGCATGTAAATGGTCTGCAAAGACTACAATCCCTGTGTTTCCTGCAGAGGGAGTTCCTGAACATCAGCAGAATAGGGCCCCTTTCATTTCTACTGTTCTTCTTATTGATATTTTTCATCGTTGATGAATCGTGATTTCCCATGTTATGTGCCAGAGATAGCCCTGTGTAGGAAATGTTTGTTGGTGCTCTATAGTTTTAAAATTCTTACTAATGCTTTAATATACAGATCAGTGAAGAGCCTTCACAGTGCTGCTGTTCAGTACCTTGAACAGGTCCAGGTTGGCCTGGTGCAGGCGCTCCTCAGGGCGCGGCGTTGTTCTGGGACTGGACGCCTCATTGTCTGACAGGATGATGACGTCTGGAGACGGAGTCCGTCTGTCATGCTCAGCCTCGCTACAGGAACAACAAAAAGGTCCGTCAACTTCTGGAGCATCTGAAATGTTCATTTTCAATCCCAGAATGTGACCTGCTGGGGGAAGAGGATGTGAGGAGCACTGCACTCTGTCAGGGAGGCCTTCAACATCACTGTTGGCAACCTTCCATTACGTTATATCAGGAATTGCCTTTTTTACTTCATTAAAGCTGATAAATAGATTAGTCTATCACACTTTGTTATGTTTGTTACACCGTTATTTGAGTGAACCATTTTTGTGAGTGTACATTTGAGCACATTACATTTCATTTAGCTAATACTTTTAACCAAAGCAGCTCACAAACACTTGAACACAGCCGACATGCATACAGGAGTAATTATGGGACCTGTTGATTGCCGGGGCGGGTTGGTAGAAGGCCCTATAAATGAGGCCTCAGTTCTGTCTGGGGGAGGTTTTAGGGAAATGTGTCAAAAGATGCACACAATATATTATAGTCCATTGGATGATTTGGTGTAGGTCATTGTTTATAATATCATAATGTATTATTGTGTGATCACAATTGGTTGGATTAGTTGGGTCACATGGATATGGGCGTGACTCATAGTGAACATAACCAACCTGTGTGAGTGTGTCGCTGTATTTTTTGATGGCCCACTTTCAAAAGCTTGGTTATTCTGATTATACATTTTGTGCATAGTCTAATATTTTGATGATTCAAATTAAGATCTGTTCAACACATGTTTGATTCTCAGCATCATACAAAGCCATCCAGGCCCGACCTCAGCCTCTCAGTGACTTGTGTTGTTCCCTCAAGTCCAGCCAAACATTTAGCTTCAATCAAGCTATCTTCTATTTAATAATCTCACAGTCTCTACTGACTCCCTGGCATAATACATACTATGCCTATTTAATAAGTGCACATCACTTAATCTACAAACAACACATTTGGCCTTCAAAAAACTTTAAACATTTTTCCAGTTCCAGTGTTGGCATAGTTAGTGTTGGCAGAGCAGATGTGACATTTGAATAGCACAGAGCCACCATGCTTGTTATCAGCTCTCTGGTTCTTTGAACACGTTCTCCTCACCATCTCCTCCCAGCGCTCATGTCCACCGGCTCATCCATCATGTTCTCCTTCCCGTTCTTACTGGCTCCAATATGGCTGCCGTGGCCCGTCAGCCTCAGACTCCCGTTCATCTTTTCCTCGTAGGCGCCTCCCATGAGGCTCTGGTGGTGGAGGCTACTGGCTCCGGGCCCCTTCCCTTCCCCCAGGGGCCCCCCGACCTCCAGGGCTGCTAGGTCAGCGAGGTCTTTGCGTTTGAGTAGAGCCAGCATCTTGAGGCGCTCCATGGCCTCGTGGCCCTCCATTTTGAGGCGTTTGGCCAGAGCCTCCTCTCGCTCGCTAGGGGACTCCAAGCCTCGTTTCAGCAGGTTGAGCCTCAGCGCCTCCTCAGACATCCGCTCCATCCTGCAGGTCAGCAGGGACACAGGGGTTAGCAGGGACACAGGGGTTAGTAGGGACACAGGGGTCAGCAGGGACACAGGGGTCAGCAGGGACACAGGGGTCAGCAGGGACACAGGGGTCAGCAGGGACACAGGGGTCAGCAGGGACACAAGGGTCAGCAGGGACACAGGGGTCACCTACCAGCTCATAGAGTCCTATAGTGAACCCGGAAGTTAAGTTTTATGTTATAAATGTATAGTAGGGTCCACAGCACATAGAAACTGCCGGATGCTAACTTGAATATGTTGGGTAATTTGCACCATTAGCTAAAGTTGCATTAATTAGCATGAATTGCCATTATATTATGGGAGGGTATATGCAGGAGTCAAATGTAATACCTTTCCATACATTTTAAGACCTCATCGCCACTTTGAGTTTTAACCGGTTACCTTGACGACACACTTCACCTCACATTGACTATATACAGCATTGATTGTCCTTCCTCCTTATCTTCCAACCATTTGGACACAGACTTGCATTTCCCCATAAAGATGTTGTTTAACAACCGGCGTAAACGGACCTTCGCGCTATCACGCAGTGAGAGTGCGATGTCCTGTTCAGATGACGTCAAACCCAACGGGATGCCATCAATAAACTACACAGAATCACACTACACACCTACGCCATGACTACATTCAGGCAGACTGTAGAATACAACCTCTTTGGACCATTTATATACTTATTGAAAACAAGCTACAAAATGCAATACCTTGGAAAATGCCGTTTAATACTTTTTAATAGCCTTCATTTTCGCTAAATTGATTCATCAACTTTTAATACTTTTTAAGACCCCCTATATGGGGACAATAGTCAAAAAAAATGTTGGCCGATTTGGACCTTAGGATTGGACAGATTGCCTATTTATTTTTAAGAAAGTTGTCCACAGTAGAGATAATCATCTAAATGTTGTGCTCTCTATATCCAATGGTCGCAACAGTCATCCTTGTAATCAAAATCAGCTCACTGGGAGAAAAAATATGGCCACTTTCTGGTTAAAACTGCCATTTTTGTTCCTGAAAATGTCAGAAATGGATTCAGCATCCTCAATAACACCAAAACCACTCCAAGATTGTCCAAATCAACCAAGCCATCTTTTCTGCCTAGGCTTTAATGCCATTCATGCTAATTAGCACAACTTATGCTAATTGTGCAAATTGCCCATCATATGCAGGTTAGCATCCGGCAGTTTCTATGTGCTGGAGACCCTACTATACATTTCTAACATAACACTCAACATTTCTGCGTTCAGTATGCTGGCAAATAGACTGGTATACCCTCAAACAATACAAACTTGCAATCTTGTGCAATAAACCTGCAATGTGCAATTTAGATCATTTTTGGGCAATTGTATTTAGCAATGATCAGTTTCATGTGTAAAACATACATTCATTATAAATGTCCCAATTTGTTTTACTATGTCTCAATATCGTAATATGTTACTTATGCCACTTAGTTTTTTTTGTATTGCTGCTACTCATATTTTAGCCATGGCTGTGTACTGAGTTTAATCACTTTGAAGTACAGTTATGCTCCAAAACAGACTTACTGCTTTAAGTGTCTGCATTATTGTGGATGTCTACACAGAATTGAGGAATCTGCTTTTTGCTGTTATCAAAGACTGGTGCAGACATGAGTCATAAACCTGGAAATAAGTCAGCATTTTAGCCCTTCCTGGTCCTTCAATTTTCTTGAACATGTTTGTAGTTAGATAAGATCTGTAGTAAACACAAGCTGAAGAGATGTCACGTTTTGTTCAACGACATTAATTACATAAATTAAAGGTCACATGTCATGGCCATTTCCACTGATCATAATTCCATTGTTGAGGTCTACTAGAATAGGTTTACATTGTTCAATGTTCCAAACTCACATTGGTTTCGCATACAGCATCTCTGTATAGTATGTGTATTCAGCAGTATTCACTCTCTCCACTAAACGGCTCGTTGCAGCTCTTGCCCCCCCCTCCCTGTGAGCCCAGTGTGCTCCGATTGGTCGGGACCAGTCGGGACGTTGTGAATCGCGCTGAGCTCCGTGGAGGTGTGATTTCCTTGTTTAGCGATACACAGCGAAACACAGCCAAACTCACCCTGAGCACACACAAAGTCACAGCCGAAGTAAAAACAATAAGTGTGGCTTGATATTGAGTAAGAAAAAGGTTGATAAACGGTGTGAAAATGGGTCTGCAGAGAGAATTTCGCCGCGATCCCAACTGTCTGTTATCAGCCAGGGAGGAGAGATCAGCAGAGCTGCATGCACTGAGTGTGTGAGGAAGTCCGTGGATTGGTCAATTTGGACCAATCAGCGGGGACTTAACGTAACGGCTCCGCGGACGTAACGTAACGGCTCCACGGATTGGTCAATTTCTTTCCGGGGACGACATGACATCATGATGTACCCGGAAGAATCAAATGGACAGTGACGTATCTCCAATGAGGCGTTTTGGGGAGGTATTTTCTGTGTTAGAGTTTTACTCGCTACATGGTGTACTTTGAGGGTTTTGACTCTGCACACCGTTTACATGCATAAAAACCTTCATAACACACAAGGGGACGGGTAATAACCGGAAAAGCATGACATGTGACATTTAAGGCGAGACATGGCAGGCAAAAACATTGTTTTTCAAGTACTGGTCAATTTTGAGATTTTGTGCTATTTTGATTCTATAACATGTTTTCTTTCAGGCTTTTGGAAGGAAAACGTACAAAATACACATTTAAGTGTTTATTTTACTATAGTTTGTCTATTTGCGTCTGTAGATTTCTCCTAAATTCACCAAAAGTTAGCATTCTAACGTAACATAAAGTACCGCGACCGCTGTGTGCACCATGTCAACAGAGGTATCGCTGGAAAGCTCCGTCTCTCCTGCACAATCTCATCAGATCCAAATATGGTCATTTCCTTTGTATCAGCAACCAATCGTGAAAGTACGAAGGGGTCTTAAACCAATAAACGAAATCTCATTGGCTGGTGTCAATTTCTGACAACGTGATTTGTTCAGATGCGTCACGTGATGTGCTAAAACACTTCCTGGTTAGCTTTCCGCTAGAAATTGAAATCTCAAAATGCCAAAAGAACGGCGAAAAAAACGTTCACAGAGAAGACAACAACAATTGTCACTTGCACGAAGCAAGGTTATACAAAACACAAATGACCCCGAACATGAAATACCTTCACGGAGTGCGTCGATGCGCAAGCTGTCATCCAAAGAACAGGAGGGTTTAGCTAGCGCCTCACTGCAATCTTTAAAGGTTGTTTTCTCAAAATGAGTTTTTTCTCCTACTCTCAGTTCGAAATGTCAACTTCAGTAGCACGTAGAGACACCAAACCTTCCAGTTATATTCCTATCAATATTATGAAGGCTTTTACAGAAGGGTTTGTTCATATATAATTCATAGCCTGAATTATACAACATTGTATACCTAAACACATGGCGAAAATTGATATTTTAGGGCTGTTGACAGTATTTTCTGATTTATGGAATGATAAAAAGAGATATCCAATATCCCTTCTGTAAAAGCCTTAGATACTAATATGACTACAAAATGAAACAAGAATTTTGAACCTGGCTTTATCCAAAGTTCAGATTTCGATTCCTGAAATGTGTTACTTAAAATATGTGCATATTTAATGAAATAATGGGTAATTTGCATATTTAAACATGCTATTTCAGAGAACTTGTAATACAAAAAACAATTGCCTTATTGTAAGTAATTAACTGGAGAAATTTCTAGCTGATACCTTTAAGTTAAAAAAATTACCCTATTCACCTGGGGTGTCTTGCCTGATCATCAAAACGGCCTTCCTCCAATCAAAGAGCATCGCCCCTATCCGCCGCACACCGCTGCTAAAACTCATCCATTCAGTCATTCCATCCCGACCTGATAACTGCACCAGCATTCTCTATGGTTCACCTGCTTATGTTCTCAAGAAACTTTAATACGCACACAATTCTGCTCCCAGCTAGTCACTTCCACCTGTCGCTCTGACCACATCATCCCTTTCCTCTGGGACCTCCACTGGCTGCCAACCAAATACTGGATTGATCAAGTAACACATTGCTGAATGTTAGCTTGTCTTCTCTGCAGCTGAACTGTCCTGAAACTGTGAAGAGGAGGGAATCATACATTCCATTCAAATCAAACCACCTCATATAACCCCTGACCTCAGGATCAGGGCAGAAAACAGGGTCAGCTCATTCAGACAGAAGTGGGCTAAACACCGCCGGCTAAGAATAGCTTGGACATGTGTAATGTATGATGCCTCTGGGTGTGTGTGTGTGTGTGTGTTAGTATGGGTCTGTATTTGAAAAGGACAACAACAAGCCATGTCTTATTAGCATTAGCTTAGTGAAGTTAAGTCAAGCTTTGTGTAGCACATTTAAAACAACCAGTTGAGCAGATTGTTGACTACAGAAAACTAATCAGTACGAAGCAAGCAGCAGAAGAAAAACATGAACACATAATCTCAAAACTGTGCTGCACAGGAGAGGAAGTCAAGGCGTGGAGCACAACTCCATCAGATGGCAGCAAGAAGAGGTGTGTCTGCAGCAACAACCTTTAGGTGCAGTTCAGGGTGGACTAATGCCTCCATACAGTCTCAATTCATCAATCACTCAAATCAGCTGTTAATAAAAAAAACTACTAAAGTATGTTATCTAGGTTTATAGTGTACTGCATCCTGAGAACATCCATCACCTGACAGCATCCATCACTGCATCCATCACTGCATCCATCACCTGACAGCATCCATCACTGCATCCATCACCTGACAGCATCCATCACTGCATCCATCACCTGACAGCATCCATCACTGCATCCATCACCTGACTGCATCCATCACTGCATCCATCACCTGACAGCATCCATCACCTGACAGCATCCATCACTGCATCCATCACCTGACTGCATCCATCACTGCATCCATCACCTGACAGCATCCATCACTGCATCCATCACCTGACAGCA